AAAATTATTATTATAATTTGGTAAGATATTTAGCCTTCACCGTCAGGGAGCTCTGGTGCCACTACAAACTACAAATCCTACCACTCCACAGGATGGAGCCATGGCAGTTCAAGTGGTGTCTAAATACATTCATTCTGCAGTGCAGATGCAGCCATGGTAGCCCTTGAGCCAGGCAATTCCCCTTTCTGCCCTATTTAGGTAGTGGTGATGAAATAAATAAATAAATAAATAGCAGTATGTGCATCAGATGGGTTTCACTGGGTACACAATGCATATCTGTAATGTGTTCCCACCACCCATTGAAATCATAACCTGTGGCACAGCTTCCGGGCAAGTGTGAATGACCCAAGTTTGATGGCATTGTTTGTGGTGGAAAGAGCTTGTAATTCTTTGTGAGTGAGAAGAGGACCGGTGGTCCCAAAAGGCAAGCAGCCTTAAATCTTGATTGTATAAAAGAACAAAAGCCTTGTCATGACCAGAATTCCATAACCCATACTCACTTGGGTAAGCCTTGGTTTTGCTCCTGCTCCAATTAAATTACAATTTCTGTCCACTGTCACTACCACTTCTTGGAGTATGGCACAAAGATATCTTATTCAGGGTGTGCTTCCAGGCAATCTCAACCATGTTTTGTTTTTCCTTTCCTATGCCACAGATCCTGACTGGGGAGGACTGGAATGCAGTGATGTATGACGGGATCATGGCCTACGGAGGCCCCTATTTCCCAGGCATGCTGGTCTGTGTCTATTTCATCATCCTTTTTATTTGTGGCAACTGTATCCTTTGACTCTTGGGATGGCTGTGAAGATTAACAGATCTTAAAGCCAGAAGGATTATGCTAGGCTGCCCAAGTGCTAATTAGTTCAGAAATGTGCTGTTGTCTCTGCCCCCCTCCCATTAGTGGAAACAGATGGAAGATGTTGATCAGAGATTTTACCTGTCATCAGACCACTTTCTTCCACTAAAAGGGGTCACATTACCTGTATTTGGGGAACTGTTACAAGTAAGATGAACAGACTGGTTTTCTTTGGTTTATTTGCAGGAACATCAGTGTTTGGGCCAATTGCTCACTGGATGAATCACAGTTCGTAGCCATCTCTCTCTATTCATGTTGTTTCATGCACTCACTCTGTGCAACAGAAGGCTATGACTAGTAACTGTATTTCTGTTCCATATGTGGAGTTGCCCACCCTTTTCTTGTGATGAATAGTTCCTGTGAGCTGGTTCTTACGCATACATTTGAACCCATTGCCTTTCTCCTTCCTAGCTAGTTAGCAATCAAGCTGATCTTTCACGGCTTTGTGATGGTTGTGTATGACTGAATGCTGGGAAGCCAGTATAAGGTCATTTACATGTGAGATTGTTAGCATACTTGGTTCTGAAATGTGGCTGCAATGATTGCTTTATTTTAAAACATTTTGATTACTGAAAATGAACCCTGATTGATTAGGCAGGAAATCATTTCTTAAAAACCCAGGGATGGCAAACATTATCTTAGGAGAGGCATCCTCTCTACTGTCTCACACAGACAGGAAGGCATACTTCTTTTAAGATGGTTCCTGCTATGGTGCATTTGTGCATCTTCTAAGTACATGAAGTTAGGCATCTTGCTTCAAAAAATATTGTGCTTACCTTATGAAAATGTGATTGATGGATTCATTAATTGTTTCACTCTGGTATGAGCTATCTGTTAAAATGTCTTTAATTAGGTTGAAACCTTGTTCCAGGAATATATTCGTTCAGAGCAATTTCCCTTTGCAACAAGCTATTTGCTCCTGAACTTCCACCTCCAGATATCCTACTCAATGTCTTCTTGGCCATTGCTGTGGACAATCTTGCAGATGGAGACAATATCAATTCTTCCAAAGAGGGGGAGCATAAAGACAAGTGAGAACTGACATTAATCAGGATGGGTGCGGGGGGGGGGGTCACTATTGTTAACCTAAGTAATGTGTATGACAGAGATTTTAAAAAAATTAAAATGAGTTTTGAAAACTGTTTCATAAACTTTATCAAAAATATTTTTGAAAAGGAAAAAAAAACCTTCCCTATGTTCCAAAGGAGATAAGCAGGGTAGTAATGGATTGTGTAATGGATTGTGCACAGGTAGGATAAAGGAAAAAAGCCAATGAAAAATGTGTGTTATTTTACTGCTTTTAAATTGCTGGTTGTAAGCCACCTTGGAGACACTTTTGTCCTTAAAGGACAGGTCCATCCATATAAACAAACTAATAAAGAAGAGTCCAGGGTTATTATTATGCTGTATAATTTAGGAACATAGACGATGAGAACTGGGACATCTAAGGGCCTTTGCAGACTGCAAGAAATAGTGCAAATTGAGTCCACTTTAACTGCCCTGACTCAGTGCTAGGGAATCATGGGAATTGTAGTTTATTGTGGCACCAGAGCTCTCTGACCAAGAAGGCTCAATGTCTCAGAAAAAAATACAATTCCCATGATTCCCTAGCACCAAGCCAGGGTAGTTAAAGTGGACTCAATTTGCACTATTTCTAGCAGTCTGCAAAGGCCCTACGTTATCTGCAGCTCTTGAAAGGGAAGAGAGTGTAAAGTCATGGAGGGGGTGTTTATCAACAACTTTTAGTTATATGAAATTTCCATATTCACACTGAGTGCTAGATGCTAGGGACAAGTAAGAAAGGAAGTCAGCTAATTGGGACTGTCAGGGATAATCCTATTTGTATTTTGAAATGGCAGAATCACAACTGTTTAGAACTAGAAAAGGATCCTCCATCAGAAAATACCCCTTTTTGCTGTTTGTGAGTATGAGTAATCTTCTGTCAAAATCAGACTCAAGGAACCCCCTGTTGGTGCTGCAATTCAGTGGCATAGTACAGTGGAACTCAAATCCTACCTGACTTCTGAATTTGGGGGGCAGGGGGGATGTATGTGTGGCCTTATATGTCTTATGTATACACTGATGCATACATCTCTTCCTAGAGCGGGAGGACCTAAAGATGGTAATGCTCTCATTGGTGACCTCAAGGTTGAACTTTTGCAATGTTCTATACATGGGACTACCTCTATACCAAATTCAGAAACTTCAATTAGTGCAAAGAAAATGGCAGCCAGTTTGGTTACTGGTGCATCTAGGAGTGATCATATTATTAAAATCATTCCACTGGCTGCTAATTAGTTTCCTAGCAAGGTACAAAGTCTTGGTTGTTACCTTTAAAGCCCTACATGGTTTGGGGCCAGGTTACTTACAGGATCTCCTTCTCCATATAATCTGTCCTGTGCACTTTGGTCCTCTGGGGGAGATTTAGGGGGGAAGCACACGAGGGCGTCCGAGACGCCGCGGGACGGTGCGCCGCGGGACCGCGGCATCCGCACCGCGGTGCACCGTCGGCGCCTCTGAAAGGAGCGCTAAATCAGCGCTCCTTTCAGAAGTCAGTGAACCCTAAAAGCTTGCGGCGCACTTTCGCTGACTTTTCTGCCGCAGCGTGTCCAGACGCTGTGGCGGGAGGTTGGCCTCGGAGCGCTGGCCATGCGGAGGGCTGGCAGCTCTGAGGGCAACCTCGGGAGGAGGAAGGGGCGCCGATCGTGCGGCTGCCCCCCTCTTCCCTGCCTCGGAGACGACTCTATTAGTCGTCTGCCGAGGCCCTTACTTCAGTCAGTCAGGACCAGGCTGGTGACTGTTAGCTGAGGACTTTTTCATCAGCTGCCCCCAAATTGTGGATGATCTGCCGGGAGAAATCTTACAGCTGGATACACTCTGTGCATTTAAAAAAGCATTAAAGACCAATTTCTTCTGGCAAGCCTATTCAGATGGTTTTTAAATTGTGATTTTTTAAAATTATGGATTGATTTTTTTAATATGTATGCTTTTTAAACAGATGTTATGCTCTTTTAACTGATTATGCATTTTTAATTGGTGTTTGTGTTTTTAACTGTGTTATATGTCTATATGTTGCTGTATTTTAATCTACGGTATTGATGCCCATCTCAATTCTTTAGGGAGAGGTATTTTTATTATTATTATTTCACATTACACAACTATGGCTATTAGTGGTATGTAGTGTGGAAGAGACTGTCTATACACTTTCTGTGCAAGACTGGTTTGAGAATGTAATGGAGAATAATATATCTAGTATATAAAAAGAGGTTTGCTCAGTATCTATGAAATAATGGTTCTTGGTTGTGAGATGCGATATGGAGAAGACCTCCATCATTTCCGGACTGCAGACTCTAAGGTAGCATCCAGTGTTTTACTTTTTCTCTTCTAACCCACTCTCCGTATTCCTCTTTTACAATACAGAGAGGCGCCAGCAGAGGGGGAGCAGAGCACCGAGAATGAGCAGAAAGAAGTCAAGGTGAGAATGGAAATCCTTGACCTTCAGCTTTGACTGTGGCTTTGGAAGATGTAACTGAGCTCCTCCAGGCTCTGAGAGCTGCAATTCCACAAAAATTCTATATGTATAACACAGGCTAGTATATTCAATGAAAAATCACAGTACTGCAAACTGGCATGAAGTATCCTAAGGAAAAAATCCAATTAGTGATCTAAAAAGTCTAAATCCCAAACCTGGATGTATCATGGGCTGCAAAAGGATAGTTGATTTTGATTAATTACAAGTATAGGGAATTCTGTGTTTATGGAGCAACCATTCAGAATATATCTGTGCATGTAATTTTGCCCAATAAATATGGTAAAAGTGCAGACTTGAACAAGATATGCACTAGACTGGAATGCAATTGATTCACCTCAACTAGGGTAGAGCTATTAAATCAACTGCTGAATAGTGTGCCTACATCTAGGTAAATTCAATAGATTAAGTGGATCTATTCTAGTCAGTTCTCATTCTTAATTCAGACAGCACAACACACAGCATATTTTGTTACTATGATTTCTGTGTGTGTCAAGAGGTTTTCTTGGCTGAGAGAGTCTTACTGGCCCAAGACCACCTAGTGGGTTTCCATCACTGAACAGGGAATTGAACTCTGGTCTCCAGAGTTGTAGTCTAGCGCTGAAACCACTATACCACACTGGCTCTAAAGATATTTTTACTGTTAATATTATTATTATTGTTATTTAAATCATTTGTTTCTCATTTCCACCAGAACTGTTTATTTATATGCTACTTTTTACAGCATATAAAGGTTAAAACAAACATTGTTTTAAAACCCTTGTTGTTATGTGCCTTCAAGTCATTTCCAACCCTTACATAGGCATAAACAAAAACATACAGAAAGTAATTGTTAAAATGCAATTAAATTGCCTACAAAATTAAACCAATTAAAACAAATCCATTGAAAATATTAAGATCCATTTAGATCAACAAAACAGCACACTATTAAATGTCCCTGCATTCAATTTTTCAAAGACCATTGGAACAGATTTTTGTTGTTGTTCTCCTTGCTGTCCTTCCTTTGGCAAACAATATCAGGTCTCTTCCTAGTGGAAACAAATGGGGCCACTCTGTGGTATATAATAATCCCAGGTACAGAATGAGATTAAAAATATGGGTCCACTGGCTCTTGGAAATCTCATGGGGTTACCATATTAATACAAGGACATTTAGCCTTTTTAGAATAACATATTCATCTATATATTTTTTTTCCTCTCTTCTTTTGTTTAATGTAAAACTGTAAATTTATAATCCTTGATTTATTTCTTAAGGGAAGAGTAATTAGTCAGTGTAATAAACGTAGGGGGATTAGTAGTATTGATAACTGGAAATCTACTTGGCTTTATAGAAATTTATTGAAGACAGAATTGTACCGTAGGGACATACGTATATAATAAAAATAATCTTACCTCAGGAGAAGATAATGATACATTTAGATATAACATATACATTTAAGAAGCTATTTAGACACAAAGTTTACAGATATGCATTTAGATACATTGTATAAATTTTCAAGCATTTTATATATATATAAGTTAGTAATGGGTGTTACTGTGTAAATGATCTACTTTAATTACACAGAAATTAACGTCAGTGATGTAAGGATAGAATTAAGTATGGGAAATAGGTTATTTGAAATGTATTTTCTTGATCCTCTTGCCACTTGCTAGGAAGTTAGTGTTAAGTGTTAATTGTTAGTGTTAGTTTGTGATTTTATGTAATTTTTCTTCTTTTCTATTTTTGTATTTTCTATTTGCTTTTACTATTGTCTTGTCATGTTATGATTGTTTAGTTTGTATGTTGCCATTTTAATTTTTTTATACCAATAAAGAATTTTTAAAAAAATACAAGGAAATTTAAATTTTAAAGTAAATAAGGCCCACAGGGACCTTAGAGAGTGTTTTCTATTTATAGAAGGGCTCTTCATTCACAGCAATCTTTGTCACAGCTGGGCACAAAATGTGGGCCAAATGGGATTTTTCCTTCAGAGTTTTAAAATTTAAATAACTTTCCTTCTGGGAGTCTAAGTTCTGTGGGGAACGGGACCTCAATTGGTACCTCCAAAGGGATGGACGTGGGGATCTTAAGCAGCGATTAATTATAAAAGGGGATTAAACAATATTTGCCTTCCTCTAAAGTCATGCCTTACCTTATCACCTTATACTTACTCAGGGACAAATCACATCTGAAAGCACAGACATTTTGCTCTGAGGCCATTTGCTGATTAGGACTAGAATTACTTCTTATTGCACTTGGCTTTTACTTTGCTGCTTCATTTATTGTTATTAGTTCATACTGTTGTCCTGTTTACAGTTTATTTTTTATACTTTTTTCCCTTAGTATGATTTGAATGATTTTACTTGTTGCTTACTTGTTTTAATGATATGGATCTGAGGGGGGGGGGATATGGCTCACAAATACACTCCCGTTCATTTCCATGGAGCTTATGCAGGAGCACTTACTGGACTAAATCTATTGGTTAGGCTTGCTTGTCTCTCAGTCTGGTAACTGTGTGTGTATATGCCTTCAAGTCACCTGTTGACTTATGGCAACCCCATGAATTTTACAAGATTTTTTTTAGGTAACAAATATTCAGAGGTGGTTTTGTCAGTTCTTTCCTGAGAAATATAGTGTACAGCACCTGGTATATGTTGGCAGTCTCTCAGCCAAGTACTAACCAGGGCTGACCGTCCTTAGCTTCCAATATCAGAAAGGGTATGGTTTTTTTAGGGTATATACTTTGTTGTTATGTGCCAGCGACATGGCCAAGTGGAGAATCAAGCCCAAACTTAAATCATTATGCCACGCTTGCTGTATATACTTTAGGGTGACTCTAATGATACCCAAGTCTGTCATGTAAGAGCCCAGCTAGGAGCAAGAGGGCAATTGTGTGTTTTCTTTGTAGCTGTTCTATTCCTTTCAAAATAATGAAGTGGGGTTCTAATTTTTATGAGAATCAAAACTTATTTGATTTGATACTGTAACTTGCAAAGACTCTGGGAGCAGTGTCAGTGTATTTACCTAGGACACTTTTCCTTCTCATTCATTATGGTGCCACTCTGCTTTGTATCTACTGTCTGGCTAGAAGCAAGTAGGCAAGATCAAATATATTTTATCCCATCTTCTCATGTAGATGAGAAGGAATAATTCCCTCATTTAAGCATGATCTGACAACAGTCCCTTTAGCTAAGATTTCTGTCTTAATTTTCAAACATGAAAGTATGTTTTGAATGTGTGTGTGTGCATCTCACTTTTGTGTTTGAGTTTGAATGACAAGCTCTGAGCTACTGCGGTTGGTATTTAATGCATAATTCTTAATGTTATCAGCAGTTGCTGCCCCTAAGTCTTAGGCTTTGGGCCAGAAACCCCAGTGTCTGGGATGATCCTGAATTGGCAACCATATTTAAAGATAAAGAAAGCTGAACTCCCCCTGCCTTACCTTCCTATATTTTTTTACACCAGAGTATTCTTTCCTTATCCAGCTCTGATATTAGGCCGAGGAGAAAAGTGCATGAAGTGAGTAGGAAGGGAGAGGATTCATGTCACTTTTGTTATAGAAATATGACCTGCTTACCCATCCACCTCCACTTCAGATTGCAAAATGCAGAGAGCAAATGTAGAAATGAGAAGATATGTCTGTCCCTACCATGCCTAATACAGGTATCTCACCATCTTACCTAATATCAAGGGGAGGGGAAAACTTTGAAGGTAGGAGACCATGGAGAAGAGATACATGCAGATCTCTGCAGATTTGCTTGAGACCCTCTTTATTTGTGGACAGAGGACAGGTCTAGGCCTGAAGGGCTTACTGTGCCTTTCTCTGTGCAAGACCTAATGGGAGTAGAAGTAATAGTCTGGAAACTCAAGAAGGTCTTATCTCACTCTTTCTCTCTCACCCTCACCAATTGCTCAGCTTCTTCCTCCTCCTCACAATAATAATATTTTTCATCTGCTTTTTTCTAAGGTGGAATGCGGTGAGGATGAAGCAGCAGAAGAAGGCAGTGAAGAAGCAGGTGAGGAAGGAAATTCAGGTTATGTTTGGTTATGATGAGAGCCATAGAGATAATTATACTACTAGGGCATGCTGAGATAAAATGGCTGTTTCAGAAATAGGTGAGAAATTCATTTAGGATCATATTTCGGTACAAATGTACCAGATTTGCACTTCCCACACCACTTTTCAAGACTGCAGTTTGCAAAGACTTTAGTTTGGGAAAGGCATGCAAAATTGTGTATTTAAAAATGTGGTTGCAAAAATGCATATATTTGAAACTATGTATATCTGAAGTATTCAGATGCATGCACCAAAACAAAACAAGACCTTTAATGCATCATGTAAGAGTTAGGAAAATGTATCCATGTGAAAATGCTCTCAAAACTGCATAGATTTGGACAATGCACCAAATATGTGTCTGTTTTGAAAAATACACATACATTTTAGTACAGATGAAAAGAAAAAAAATATGCAATCTTAAGATGAAACAAAGTGAGAACCTGGGAACCTCAGTGAAGTCAACGTCAGATTTTCCCATCCTTCTGTTATCTATGTTTTCAAAAGAAAGCATAAAGCAGGTATAGACTTCAGTCAGCTAAGTAACTAAAAGTAAAATCTACAATTCATCAAAATATTCATTCTGCTGGTTTTATTGCATACTCACTTCCACATAAACAACTACCAGACAGACATTAACATAATTTTGACTTTGTCTTCTGGAAGGTTTAAGGATCAGATAGGAAAACAACCCCACTATATCACAGGGAGAAAGAAAAAAGAAAGGATGCTAAATGGAGGGGGAGGGAGAAAATAAATTTTAGAGTATAAGCTATCTTGGGTGCTTGGATGCTTGTTGGTGTTGGTGTTGGTGTTGGTGTTGGTGTTGTTACTCTCTGAAGTGTGATGCACATTGATGACACCCATTATAGGCAGCAACAATTTGGAGTGGCAAGTAGGCTACAGTGAATGTGCAGGTAGCTATCCTTGATGTTTCCACTTGCTGGATCTTTTCAGACATTGCTGTCAATTTATGACATGTTTGCTGACCTTCTGTGACATAGAAGATGCACTTCTAATACCCCTCTCCTTCCTCTGAGGATCACTACTTGGTCCAAGTGGGAAGCTGTGCATTGTTGTTGTTGTTGTTGTTGTTGTTGTTGTTGTGTGCCTTCAAGTAATTTCTGACTTATGGAAACCCTAAGGCAAACCTATCATGGGGTTTTCTTGGCAAGATTTGTTTTGAGAAGGTTTGCCATTACCTTCTTCTGAGGCTGAGGGCATGTGACTTATCCAAGGTCACCTTATTCTTAAATTTCCAAATCAATGTTTTTACCTGTCTAGATGAAGGTACATATTTTTCCTTCTGGACCATGAAGAGTGGCATCCAGAGTGCACATGAGGGTCCATTAAGGGCATTTAAAAAAGAGTACTCTTGTATTTTCCCCAGAGATAAAAAAGGGCCAGTCCTTCATTGAGGAGAAAGTGCCAGGTTAAAAAAAAAGGCTGCCCCTTTCAACAAAAGGGTCAACAACAAAAAAACCTTTCCTTTTGCAGACTACAGTACTGTATATTATGCACAGCCTATTCTGCCTTCACACAATGAGTTGAGAGGGATTCAGAGGAAAACTATATGTCTCAGGCTTCTCTT